CAACCAACTTAAACAGTGGGTGCAAATGAAAAACGTTTTAAAATTAGCTAATAACTAGCAAACGCGGCATATGAATAGCAAAATCAGTTATTTATTATGAAGTGGATTCCAACTGCAAATAGCGCAATTTTAATTGGTATGGCAATGCGGCAATCGAAACACTACACAATACACCTGACAGCACTGAAAACAGTGTTTACAACGACTGACAATTATGTGGTCAAGGTCAATGCTATCAAATCAATCAATTTCGGGCTTATCATGCCAGCTAATCGCTTGAGCTAGAGCTTGCTTTAAAAAGTGTGGCGATAGCCATAAAATGAAAGATACTTGATATATGAATAAACTATTCTCGAAGCTACATATCAAGTTTGTTGACTTTAAATCCTAAAACATAAGAGATTCGCTCAATAAACAGTAATTCGAAATCGACTCTAATCGATTGCTGGAAAGGCAAGTTATCGATTATCAGAAACAAGCTCGTACTGCGCGGGTACTAGAAGGATCTGAGTTCATAATTTTAAGTCTCTAGCTCTTATAGGTTCTAAGATCCTCGCGTTCATACAGACAGACGGACGGCCTAGATCGACTCGACTACTGATGCTGAATAAGAATATATATGCTTTACGGGGTCGGAGATGCTATCTTTTGCCTGTTATATAGCTTTGCAAAAATGCACCCTTTTGACCCATTTTGAATGGGTTCAGGGTATAAATATCGATACCAAAAATGCAATATATGTACTTCCGTTTGTCTTTTTGGCTAGACAAGCGTCACATCACGTTGGCTTCGGGAATTTTGTTATCCTACGTATTTTAAATGTTATTGATTTAAACTAAGCATTTTCATTATTTTATATTCAACAAGGTTCTGGAATTATGGACAGCAGCAAGGAAACCGCTAGTAGGATCGAATCTGAGAAAGAGAAGCCCAGTCATCTCGACGCCGAGACTGCGGACGCCTTGAGGGACCTGCTGCAGCAACGTCTACAGGAATGCGGCTGGCGGGACGACATTCGAAAACTGATACGCAACATTCTCGACGAGCGCGGTGTGAACAATGTAAGCTACGAGGATATTGCCACTGAGGTAATACCAAAAGCACGTGCCATGGTGCCCGAAGAGTTGCGCAAGGAGCTGCAAATGCGCGTGCGCGAAGCCCTCGATCCGACAGATCAAGCTGAAAAGAATTAACCGCAAATAAAATATCTTTGTGTGAATCTCCAAAATGCGATCAGATCTTTTGCTTCTTTGATTCTTTTTCCAGATTCTTCCTTTTCGGTTAGACTCAGAAGAAGAGTAAAATCTTTCAATAAGTTAAGGAGCCGAGACCTACTTGCCGATATTAAATATTGAGAACTAGACACAAATCTCACATCCAGTTGGCTGCGAAACTGTTGTCAAATCTTCAATTTGTCATTTGAGTTGTAAATAACTGAGCAAATTAAGCAAAATTCTCTGAAATTATGGCCGACAGCCAGGAATCATTTACAAGCGCTCAAACCCCAACGGATGAAGTCCAGACGTCTGGCGTCGACGTGAACAATCCGAACGCTTTGAGGGAACTGCTGCAGCTGCGCCTACAGGAATGCGGCTGGTATGATTCGATACGAAAGATGATACGCAGCATTCTGATCAAGCGAGGTGCCAGAAATGTTACCTATGAAGAGATTCACGCCGAGATAGTGCCCAAGGCACGCGCTTTGGTCCCAGAGGAGGTGCGCAAGGAGCTGCAGTTGATCGTGCGCGACGCATTGGAGTCGACAAAGCGTTAACCAGATATCTGCGCATATGTCTATATATGTCTAGCAAATGAAAATATGTATATGTGTATGTACATATATGGCAAATGCAAGTCTATCTGTAATTAAACGTATACGTTCAAAAGCATCCTGTGCGTGTTAGCTTAACGATAAGCTATTATTATTAAGCATAAGTTATTATTATTATTATTATTTGAATTAAATAGTTACTGTGCTCGCTCACAGACTGGAAAGAGTTTATTGGACAAATCGGACAAATCTGTGCCTGCCACAGCCTTAGGGCTAGAAAAGATTACTGAAGATCGAGCTACTCTAAGATCGACTCAAAAACTATTTGGTCTACGTCCACTGGATGCATGGGAAATTGATATCTGACAGAGTATTAGGCAGTCAGTAGCATCCGACTGCAATATTCCCATGGGTTTTAGATCTCATTTTACATATCAATTCGTGTGCATAAACTCCAATAGAACGAGTTGGCACTTCGATGGCAAACAATGCATGAATTGCAGTTTTGTGAGCTATGAAAATGGTTATTGTTGAAATTTGTTGCATTGTTTTATCAGCAAAAAGACCGACAGCATATATTCCAGTAACAGTCGCCAGGACACGGCGCGACACGGCATGGCAGGACATATCGCAATCGCATAGACAGCGATTCATGAATATTTATGCCTAAAATCAAATTGAGGCAACCAGTGGAAACGGACAATGGGTTAAGGGATTCGAATGGGTATGTGTGCACAGGGGGGGACTGCGACTGGAATCGGCATTTTTGTCCGCGTCAGTGGGAGCCCAAAATTAGCATGCATATTGAAGCCGGTCAGCATTTGGCACCTGGCCCCTGAATGTGGATGCGGCTTTAAATGTGGATGTGGATATAGATGTGAATGTCTGGCTGGTTGGGGACCTGTGTGTAAGCTCGCAAAAAATGCACCTGTGCATGGGTAAAGATAAAACCGGGTTGACAAAAGAAACAAGAAAAACCGACTGGAATTCATATAACATATACAAGCATGTTTGTATATGTGTGTGTGCGAGTGTGTGTGTGTGTGGGTGAGCGTCGCAAAAATTCATAAAACTGAAAGAAACACACAGCAAATATGCAGAAATACTTAAGGCAACAACAAGAACAACAATAACGAGAATTATTTTCAAGTAGCTTTGAGCGAAAAATTCAGGGGATTTTTTGGCAGCTGATGGGGTTGGCTTGAGGCAGGACGGTGACAACATTCAAGCAAAATGATTTGAAACGTGCCACAGAAGTTGTTTTATGCATAACTAAAATGCGACGAACAAAAGCCGGCAATTCGGAATGATGCCACCGAGCAAAGTGAGTAAAGAAATGTCCAGATGCTGCTGCTGCTGCAGAATGCGGTATTTTGATGAAGCACGGGGTCAAGCTTATGCAAATGTCCCCTAAACATTGGCAATAACAATAACAGTTTTAAGCACAAGCCAACTACTTATAGTTCCCATATCATCTGGCTTAAGTATCTAACATTTATCTCTAGCAGCTGCTGTCATCTATCATCGGTATCATAAATTTGAAGCATCCTTTAGATGAAGTATACGCTATCTTCTCAAGTACTAGCTCATCAATCTCATCATTATGGCCGAATCTTTTTGCAAGTAGCAAGAGTTGCACATTCTTGCTGACACCGCAATCAACGTGTCTCGGATCGACGTTCATCAATCTAATTGTCCTTCGTTGCGTATGTAAAGGATCCAAAAATTTGCTTGCCAGTCAGCATTGAGCGATATCCAATTGTATTGGGCCACGGGCTACTTGCAGCAGCAGCAGCAGCAGCAGCAGCAGCAGCTGAAGCTGCAGAAGGAGCAGCAGCAAAATGCGATGGCAACAACTCGTTGCTTCCATAAAACGGGTGCACTTTATTTGTCGTTCCACTTACCGCAGTTGACTTTGATTTGTGCGCGCAGTCGGGCAAACAGTTGCCGCTGCCTCAAACCAGCGCCAGAAATCCCCAGCGCCCAACAAGTGCAGAAAATGCAATCAAATAAACAAATTGCCAGTCGTCAGAATCAGCAGACTCACATACACATTTACGTTCACATCAGCCATCAGCATCCGGCAGCGCGTCACAGTCAGCGCAATGACAGCAGCAACAAAAACAACAAAAGCAACAACATAAGCAACAACAAAAGCAGCAGCAATAACTATGCGTGTTGCCTCCCACAGTGCGGCGAGTGGCATATCGAGCATCGCCCCCAGCATTAACGCAAAACGAGTCATGTTTAATTTGTTGCCACGCTGCGTATACGTAATAAACATTTGTCAGGGCCACGCCGCATTTTGCTAGCTTTTTTGCTGCTGCCCAAATGGCCAGAAACAGCATCTACTTGGCTAAAAAAGAAATTCCCAAGCGATTTGGCCGAATATATATATGTATATATATATATGTGTGTGGCTTTAAAAAGCTAATAAAATTAAAATAAATTGGCAATTGAAAAGTGTAATTAGCATTGATTAACGTCCAATTATTGCCGCTATATTTAAACAAATTTGTTGAATGACAGTCGCCATTTTTTGGCAATTCAATCCAATTAAATTCTTAAGTAATTGAACAGTCAATTACCATCGAATCGAAATAAATATTACAAATCGATTGCTGTGCATGGGGTTTAATGCTTTTTGATGCACTGCAAAAAATAAGCATATAATCTAGGTTTTATTAACAACTATGAACCGAAGCCTCAAGGGAAGCCCGAAGCAAATAATTTTCGTAAAATAGAAAACTTTTGTAGAAGACCCAGCCCTGAAAACAAACATAATAACTTTGGCCCCAAACTAAGGCACATAACTAATCATTTTTTGTAGATGGAAATTCTGAGAAGAGATTTATAACAAAATCAAGCTCAAGCTCATATTCAGACCAGTTTTTAAAGAATAACTCAGAAATTCTTAGCAGGACTTTGCTTATAGAAAAGGATCAAACGTTCCCCAAGATCTAACAATAGTTACATATTTTGTACGTATAACTAGGAATTATAATGAATATAATAGTTATTTAATAAAAGGGAAATAAGAGCTCAAACAGTTAACAATTGGCCTGAAGAAGACTTCAGGAGCGGCTACTTAATTTAATAGCTTGCGTGTTGGTAATTAGTTTTGTAAAGATTTGGGCATCAACTTGGAAGTAATCACTTGCAGCTGTTTATATATGGTCTTAGTCGATTATTATTATTATTATCATGTTATTTCATTTCTTTCACTCACCTGGCAGCAAAATTAGAAATCCCAGGGCATAGGCCAGCCAACACGTGATGGCGGCGGCACTGGCTGTGCCTGATGTGTGCGTCCGTTGGGCACCCATTCTCCTAATGGCCACAATCAGACGCATTTCGTTAGTTGAGTGTATCAATTTGGGAATGGCTCTCCGGCTGCTGCTGCTGCTGCTGCTGCCAACTTGGGCAGCTGCGTTCTCTGCTCTGTTTGCAGTTAAAAGCCAATTGAGGGCATTCATTTATTCAAAGAGCCCGTTTCGATTGGCATTCGTCAGTCGCTATCAGTGTCTATCACGTTGTGACGTCACAATTACTCAAACTCTCAAACGCAAAGCTCGGTGCACTCAAACTCAAGCGCCAACCTCAGCATCAACCTGTGGCATGCGGCCAACTGGCAAAGTGGCACCGTCCGTTAGGCAGACATATGGCGCATCGATCAGGCGGTGACGGTGGCGACGGTAGGCGGGCGGCGGGCGGCGGGCGGCGTGTGGCGGGTGGCGGTTGCCACAGTGAATCAATAACCAGAATCCACCAGAATCAAGCCACGGACGGGGAACAGGGTGTCGGAGTCGGAGACAGGGTGACGAACGGAACGACAACGAAAACAATTTTCAACGGCAATTGTTTTTTTATTTTCTTACTTTTTTGCCTCTTGTTTGTTGTTTTTTTTTTTGTGGCTGTTGCTGTTGTTATCAAAGTCGAGGCTGACGCTTGCTAATGCCACTTCTGTTCCTGATGGGACGGTTGTTATTGTTGTTGTTGTTGTTGTTTTTATTGTTGCTGGCCCTTATCTGCGCCACCTTTTGCTTGCCTTTCAATTTTGCAAGCAAGCGAAAACTTTTACTTTTGGCTTGCCACAAATTTTTTTACTCTAGCTGCCATTTATCAAAAAATGTTCTTTGCGGCAAGGGGTTGTGCACTTGTGTGTGTCGGTGTCTGTGTGTGTGTGTGTGTGTGTGTGTTTGTGTGGCGGGGGGGGTGAAGGTTTGTTGCTTGGCCGGAAATCAAGACTCGGCGCTGGCCGTGTATTGGAGAGTGCGGCGCGTCTCTCAGCCTCTGTCTGCGGCACGGCACGGTGTTTGTAAGCAACGGCTGGTTGCCCACATTTGTGGCATCTCCGAATGGCGGAAGGCCGTTGACCTTGACTATTTAACTTGTCAACGCCACAGGAATTTCTGTTTGTATTGTTTGCGCTTTGGTTTTAGATGCAGGTACGAAATCTTTATACGATTCGGACTCTGATTGATTGTTGCTATGATTGTTACTCGTGCCACAATTGTTTTATATTTATTTCTCACTGTCTCACTCTCTCGCTCTCCCTCTCTCTCTCTCTCTCTGTGTGTATGTGTGTGTGTTTTTTGTGCCCCTGTTGTTTGGCCCTTTTTCCGGCAATGTTTGTTTGATGTTGGCTATCGAAAGCTGCGTTTCCGTTTATTTTATTTTTTTTTTTTCCATATATTTCCTGAACTTGTTTACGGCATTCGCATTGCCCGGATCCTGCTGCTTTGCTGCTGCTCGGCAAGTTTTGATTACTTTGTTTGGCTAACAAGTAGCTGCCTTGTCACTACTTCGATTTCGATTTTGATGGCAAATATTGTCGTTATGTCCTTTCAGCCCGCACTCGTTTGCCCCACTCTTCCGCTCGTCCAAGCAGTCAAGCGTCTTTACTGCCTCGTGTGTGAGTGCATTTAAAATTCAATTTGAAAATAGAATTTGATTGCTTGTGTATGTGTGTGTGTGTTTTTTTTTTTCTCTTATTCGCTTTTTGTTGTTCTTATACTGAACAAATTATGTTCAAGTATATGCACATTTATTTATTGATGCCCTTCGGTAGCGTTGTCTTTGAAGAGTTTCATTTGCTTATTCCATGTCCTGCATATTTGCAAAAATTGATTCAATTTGTCTCACACAGCTGCCAAATTCCAAGCCCTACAAAGATAATAAAGCAAAAGAAATTTTGACAAAATTGTAGTTATTATTATATTTCATGTTTTGTATGTGTGTGTGTGTGTGTTTTTTTTTTCTACCAAATGTTACAAATACGAATTAGATCTACACATATCTCCATCTGACTATATAGATGCTCATATATATATATATGTATGTATATGCAAATGTATGTATAAATCAGACAGCTCTCAGCATATTGTGCGTGGCGCTTCCAATGAAACACATACAGATGTTCGCATAAATTCATTTTTAAATAGTTAGCCAGGCGCAGGGCACATACAATGTGACTCGCTGCATTTGGTGTCCAAATATATATATATATATATATATATATATATGTACATATATGTATATATGCACACACATATGTGTGTATATTTGGTATGTGAAATTGCGCTTTCATTTTGGCATTAAAATTGCAGCAAATACTTTGAATAAATGCGCCAACCGCATGACAAATGTCTTGCATTAAATATAAAATATGTCCCAATGGAACCGAGCCCCAGGCCCAGGGTCGTTCTCCGTCACTGTCCACTCGGACGATGCAGGCTGTGACCCACAAATGCATAAATAGGCACGCACGCACACACACACACACACACACCGGCAGGCACAATCGCATTACATATGTATGTGTGTGTGTGTGTATGTGAGGCCAGGATGCGGGCCTAGCCGAAAGGATCACAGTGTATCTGACATCCAGTTAGATTTGCCACAACAGCACAGCCATTTTGGCAGGCGACCAATTTTTCCATCTACTGCAGCCGAAGCTGAGCCTACTTGCAATTGAAATATCCAGATTAAGCAGACCTAATGAACTGGAAGCTGATCTTTTCAAAAAAAACATTGCGATATACGATTAGGTTATAGATGACAAAATTATATTCATATACATTTTAATTGATTGCAAAAGTTGTTTATATGTAGAAAATGAATTTTATGGAGATGAGCAACTTGTTGAATTAATTTATTTATTAACCTATGATCTACAAAAAGAGAGTCGATCCAAGTATTTGATACATAAGAATAGAAAAATTAAAAACTTTAATATAGGTAAGTATTTAAAAGTAACTAGTTACTGTCCTTATGCTAAAAACACAAAGTAACATCAACAAAATAAACAGCTTACATTTACGCCAATAATTAACTAGAATTATTTTTCGATCGCTAGTTAACACAGTTCTAAGATCGGCAACGTAGAACAGATCACAACTAGAACAAATGGGCGTTAAAATGCCGAAAACATTTTACTCAGTCGGAGAAATATTCTTTTATCAAAGTATTTAATATTAATAATAATATTATTATTATTGTCTTAGCTGACTTATCCGTAGTTGTCGTTGTACAGTGTTATCTGTAAAGAATAAAACTTCAGGTTTTACTCGCATCTGGTTTACACAAATCTGGTCGCCTCGCAAGATATTTGGCAGGCATCTTTATAGCAGAAAATTTTTTACGCGAAGGTTAAATATAAATGTGTACATAAAAATCTAGTTAATGCTTCCATAATCGAATAATTCACCAAAAACAATTAATCAATACAATTGCAGGCCGATAAAAAAAATATTGTTTTTTTCATTTTCGCAACAAAACAAATTTTTGCAAAAGGCAAACAGATCTTGTAAAGATAGTTTTAAGAACTTTTAATTAAATGTTGTAACGAAAATTAAAAATAAAACGCAACAAGGAAAACGTAAGAGCGAGCTTTTAATTGTCTGTTTTAATTGCTAAGTGTTTTGATTAATAATTCGACTTATTTGTAAAAGTCATATATTAACTTAACCCATTTTCAATAAGTTCATGGTATAAAAGCCTAATATTTATTTAGTGAACCTTTCGTTTGGCGTTAGAAACTGTAATTGGATTAAAAAATCAAGCCCAAAATTGACACCATCGATGGGATGACCAAAAGTGCTTGCCGCAAAATTGACACACCACAAATTATTGTCAGCTCGACATTAAATTGATTTTCTAAAATAATACGCAAATTGATTGCATTACCATTTTCTATACCCTGAACCCATTGAAAATGGCTAAAAAGGGTATTATGTATTTGTGCAAATGTATGTAACAGGCAGAAGGAAGCATCTCCGACCCCATTAAGAATATATATTCTTGATTAGCATCAACAGACGAGTCGATCTAGCCATGTCCGTCTGTCTCTCCGTCCGTCCGTCTGCCCGTATGTATGAACGCAAGGAGCTCAGAACCTATAAGAGCTAGAGAAATTTGAAGCTTTAGCTGAAGGTCCTCCAAGTACCCGCGCAGATCGAGTTTGTTTCCGATATTCGATAACTTGCCGATTTCCAAGTAATCGATAAAAATCAATATCGAAATCCTGTTTTTTGAGCAATTTTGGTAAATCATAAGAGCTAAAATCACCAAATTTTACATGTAGCTTCTAGAATAGTATATATACATATATCAAGTATCTTTCATTTGATACCTATCGCCTGTCGGAAGAAGAGGGTTCAGGGTATCCCCTAGTCGGGAGCTCCCGACTAGAACCTCTTACTCGTCTTTAATAGATAAAGCCACGAGCGGCGAAACAATGCAAACTAAATAATTGCTAATTATGTAATTTAATGATATTTTGTAGATTAAAAATTGTAAATTCGTTTGTAAATTGTAATTCGTTTTCGCCAGTGCTGGCAAGTGAATAATTCATGGCCATACAGCACGATGTAGAGAGTTAATTAAGTTGTAGCATGCTAATCAATAAGTTTCGGCAGTTAACCGATTTCAGCCATATCAAATAACAGTGCTGTCTGTATGTAGCTAATAATAGCTAATAAATGATGTATCTTTTGGCAGCGATAGGAATTGAGCAATAAAAAAGTGTTTTTTTCAAGTTTATTGACCAAATAGGTCACCGCCCTCAGCCTATTTTCGGGTGGAGGGCACCTTTTTGCATATATATATATATATAAAATAAACTACAATAAATCAATTTGCTGCCTCATAATGTGAGTTTGTTTACGCGCGCACACACGCACGCACACACGCAGACAAAAACACCTAGGGCCGTAAACGCTCGTATCACAAATTACATGACGCTTATCGTTAGTTTTACAAGCGTCTTCCTTCAGTAAACGCACTCTTCCTGAATGACTGACGAGCTGAGTCTGCGCTGGATGAATCCATCCTGTGGCTCAATTTGTTCGACTGACTGACTGACTGACTGACTGGCTGACTGAGTGACACGCCGTTCGGCAATACGCATTATCTGGGGCGCCACAGCCACCCGCGCGGCTGCTGATTGCTGTCTCAATGTTTTTGTTGTTGCCGCTGGGTTTTGTAGCTGCTCTTCGGTGGGTCGGCGGGTCGGTCGGTCGGTGGGTCGGTGGGTCGGTGGGTCTGTGTGTGCCGGTGGGTCTCTGGCGTTATTGGCTTTTTTCTGAACCGTATTGTTGCCAGAGTCAGCCGTGGACCATTTATCATCTTTAGTCGCTCGCTTAAATGCGCCTCAAAATTATGTTTAATTTAATATTGAGCATTTAACAAAGATAACTAGTTGGCATTCTGGCATTCCGATTGCGAAAAGCAACACACAATTTATGTATTTTCTGATTAAAGCTAAAACCAAACGAGCCCTAGATAAATTATCAACATGCTATAAGTCAAACAGACCGCTTTTGGTCGTTTATTGTAAGCAGCGCTCATGGCGTATACGCAATATGCCACATAAGCATTAATATAGCTGATAGTGCAGACTGTACAGTGAAGTCAAGTAGTTTGAAACAAACAAGATACGAAGAAAACAATTGAGGAAGTTTGTATTAACTTCCATACTCTCTATTTGAAATGAGGAATAACTTATGAAATAACATAATTATTGGACATAAAAAAGAATATAATATAATATTGAAAACGCATGCAAATAAAGTTCAAGAAATATGAGAAATTTTTTAAAATTATGAACAGAGTAGGATTTAGATATAAACTATATTTGATTTGATTTGTCTGTCGCGTTTGTTGTTTAGTATTCGGCATGTCCATAAACTAGTTAAGCGAGTTGACAGTCGAGTTGACAGACAGATCAGCAAGAGAGCAAAACAGACTGCCTCAAACTGTGTGCGTTCAATTAAAGAGAAGATGAACGAGCCTTTGCCTGGCAACACAATCAGCTGAGGCATCGGGTGTGGAATCGGCAGCCATTGGATGGCAACGCGCTGTGGCAACACCCTCGGCAATGACGCGTAAAAGTCGCTGAACTGGCATGCCAACGGGGGCAGAGCACTGAGCACCCTTTGCCTAAGGCCTACAGCCTTGAGCCTTAAGCCAGAGAAAAAGTGTGCTATATAGCAATTATGCCATAAGGATATACAGCATACAGCATACAGCAACAGCAACAGCCGAGGGACAGGACGTTCATTAGGATTACGCAGGCCGGGACATATAAACGAGCAGGCGATGAGCGACGGCTAAGTTAACGACTCGTTGCCACATTTTCCCATTTCGACAGTGTGGCAAAAAAGAGCGAGCTGAAAAAAAAAAAAAAAAACAAGAATATATGTGCAAACGATCGATTGAAGTGACATGTGAAACGATTTGGGTTTGAGTTTTTTTGTAGGACTGCGAAATCGGACTGGCAGACTTTGGACTGTACAAAAAAGATGCTCCCATTAAAATGTACTTTCCCAGGCACTCGGTGAGATGCTTCTAGCTATCTTTCTCGCTTCGGGCCATCACGCTTTTTTAGCTCCGAAAGTTGAACCAGCTTCCTGCATTTAGCTTCGGCTCGTGCTTTGATCTCTGTTGACAAATTTGATATTTTAAAGTCTCGGTCTGGCTTTCGGTTCGTTTGTTTTTGGACAATTGATTTGACTTGAAACAATAAGATTGAAAATCCTTTGGCAGTCGTTATTTCTAGACTTCCACCGAATGCACAAAAACCATGTGGGCTCGGGCAATTAAAGCGATCCCCAACGATGCATGAAGCATGATGTACTTCTGTTGGCATGGGCGGACTTTGATGT